CTAAGGCGAGCTGGGAGATGGCTAAGTTGATAAGCATGAGGATTGGAGTTCGGATCCCGAGAACCCACATAAACGCTGGGTGCTCATGGCAGCCTAGGATCCTGGTCTGAGGGATTCCCAGTGTTAGATTTTTGGAAACTAAAAGGAAAGATAGGAAAAGAGGAGACAAGATAACAGAGCCAGACCCACAACAGGCAAGGAATAGCCTTCCTTCCTACAAAGAAGATACAGTGAGAGGTAGAGGCTGTCCGTGGGAACCAAGCATCTACAACTAGACAAAGAAAATGGTGTGTATGTTGGGGGGGGTTATACCAGGGTTGAGGGACACAGCTGCTCTTAAAAGGGAGTTGAGTTAGCGCCCGGGCTTGGTGTCCTTGGAGTGACTGAGGGTCTTCTCAAGATTATTTCCCCAGAAACTGGCAGGAGTGTTATCTATGGCCTTAGAGGACCAACTGATAGGGGGTGAGCAGACCCAGGCTTGAGCAAGGCCAGGCTGCCAATTGAGGGCCAGTTAGACACTTTAAGGGATTTTTGGCTTTCCCTAATGAGGCTTGTGGCTCTTCTGCAATTCACACATTCTATCACCCAGAGCAAGCTGCCTAGACTCACTCATACTCTCAAGTTCCGGTTCAAGTGAAAGACCCTGCCTCAACTAAGAAGGTGGAGTGCAACTGAGAATTGAAAATGCCCAACGTTCACATGCATACATGCGAAAGTGCGAACACACATTCATACACACCACACAGTAAAAAGATTGGGGTCCTGGAGAGATGGCTCGGCGGTTAAGTGCACTGGCTGCTCTTGCAGAGGACCTGGGTTCTATTCCCGGCACCCACATGACACTAACAACCATCCTAACTCCAGTTCCAGGGGATCCGATATCCTCTTCTGACTTCCATGGACATTGCACAACAAGGGAGCACCTACCTACATGCAGGTAATACACTTATACACACAAAATAAAAATAATAAATAAAAATATTTAAAAAATAAAGTAGCCAGGTGTGGTAGCTCACACCTTTAATCCCACCACTTGGGAGGCAGAGGCAGGCAGCTCTCTGGTCTACCTAGCAAGTTCCAGGTCAGCTGAGTCTACAGGGGGACCCTGTCTCAAAAAGACCAAAAATAAATAAATAAATAAATAAATAGTAAACCTAAGGCAGAGTTTTGATCATTCAACATAGTTATAAAAGATAAAGACATTCCAGTCTTAGGTCTCCATTGAAAAAACACAGGTCCAATATTAAAATTCAATCAGTTTGTATAATACAAATCCTTTCTCCCACTCAAGTTATTTGTTTACTTGTTTGAAGAGATACTGTAATAGGGCACCTTCTTGACCATAGCTATGCCATGTTAAAGTTTAGGTTGACTCTAGTCTCTGAAAATATCAGGTAGTTAGCCCAGGATATGGAAACACATGCAAGCTGGGCCCTGGTTGTCTTGGGAACAGGTCAGAGTGTCCTAGAGTGCTCCTGCTAAATGCTGATTTATGGCTTCTGTAAGTTATACTTGGCTTGCTTCTGCAAAATAGTAATTGTTGCTTAATAGAATAGAAATTATTTAGGGGACTCTCCACCTGTATGCTTGGGAGCCTAAACTTTTCACTCCTGGTTATAGTTTCTCTGTACAGAAAGTATCCCCCAACATTTAGAGGTTCCTAAGATACAATTGCTATACAACAAAACCCCCCTAGAGGGAACTTTACTATTGGCAAAGGCAATGTAGAAGACTGATAATGTCTATTTATGAAAGAGGAGGAGTTCTGTGCAGGTGGGGGGTTTGGATGGAAAATTGTATTTTCGTATGTATTTCCTTGATAATGTTTGCTCCAGCTTAATGCTCAATAATTGACTTCTGTATTCTGCTTGCTTGCCTAGCAACATAATCAATATAAAAAGAGTCAGAGTGCTTAGGCTCGGTGCTGCACTCAGACCCTCTAGGAAAGAGTGTAGCCTGGCCATGTAGGCCATGATAAATCTTTCTTTCTCTAGACTTACCTATCTGTTTGTCTGCTTGGGGCATTTGTGGATCCCAGACTATAACAATACCTAATCTCTCAAACAAACAAACAAACAAACACCCCAGGGCACTCTTGGCCTTCTTCATCAAGTAGACTTCTATTTTATTTGTGTCCTTCCCAGGGCCTTTCTTTGCTGAGCGGCCTCTTCCTGTTCACCTTTCTATTATCCTTGTTTCTTTTTTATTCTTGTTTCTTTCAAAACACAGAATTAATTTGATTGCTACAACTTAATTTCAGCTTTATGTTTATTTCAGCAATACACATTCATACATTATTCAGTTTAACAGTTCTTAAAAACAACTAAAAATATCAACAAATTTTTAAAAATTAATTATATTTGAGGAGGAAGCATAAAAATTTACATCATGTTAATTAGTAGAGGTGATAAACATTACCATTGAAATCTACCCGGTGACTTTATAGACATACACAGGTGCTAAGGCTCCAAGTGCAACAGATTCTGACTAGTAAGTAATAATCAGATACATACAGATGAGAGACGCATGCGCCAACATCTCAGT